GAGAGTCAGGGGTTGAAAAGGGATCCAAAATGGTTCTACCACAATCTAAGTCAGTATATCCCAAACCTCAATATATGTTCCATTCTATATGCATCCGAAGAAGTGGGCTGTAGTCCACGAAAGCTTATGCTCTAATAAATTTGTTAGTCTCTAAGGTGCCACAAGTACTCCTGTTCTTCTTTTTGCGGATACAGACTAACACGGCTGCTACTCTGAAAGCTGATGATTAACAACTTTACAGTGATCACTGAAATTTGTGCTCTTGCTAAGTGTGTTGTTTTTTGTTGTAGGATTTTTCAACACTTGGAAGGAGAAGGTGGACTGTGGCTCCTGAAAGGATCTTAATAAAATCATAAAAGACAGTGTAATGTGGAGACTCTTTTTTTGACTACTGTAGTTCTTGAAAAAGTTTTGCCTCCACGTTCTCTGGAAATTTTGCCCATCCCACATTCCTTTTTTCTACCACCTTTTGGAGTGAACTGTCAGATCTCAAGCTAAACAGAACCAGGCCGGGTCAGTGCATGGCCACAATCTGGTGCTTAGGCCTCATGAATGTCCCTTAAATTGGAGTCCTGACTCCTCGGTGACATAATTTTATGCCATGTGATTTAAAAAAAGTTGGGGGAGGGTGTTTAATCCTAGTTGCTGAAATACACTTGGAGAAGCCTTCACTTCAGCATTGCTGTGTGCTGTTAGCCAGCTGCTTTTTGGTGTTAGGTAAAGTTCACAAAATGCTTTTGGGTGTGAAAGAGGCTACATAAGTTTAGTGCATTGAGGCTTACAGTTTTTTAAACTCTCTTGGAGATTTTAATGAATTGAGAGTTCGGTGTTGAATCCTGAGGTGCAAAAGTTTCATAACCTCTTAGGAGTTGAAAGTGGTTCTACGTGACACTGGAAAGAGCTTTTTTTTTTTTCATTTGGATTTGCAGTAAAATATGAATTGACACGTGTTGATGTGATTTCCCTGATAAGAGAATTTCGGAGCACTAAGATTAAGGAACCCAGGAGCGGTGCTAGTGTGTACAAGAGACTGGCAAAGTGACTTACCAGACTGTCATTTTCAAGAAACTTAAAAGGAATTAAGCACTAAGAGAATTTCATTGGTGTTTACTCAGCATACATTATTGTATGCCGGGTCTAAGTCTTTGCATTAGATTGCTCTGGGAATTCAGCAAGTTAGGAGGTATGAATTCCTCCCATTTAAACCTGACTCTTCTTGTATGGTAAAGACCACTGTTTCTGAACTGGCAGGGGGTTGAAGAACAAAAGGCAATTGGGCCATGAAGCATTAAATCTTATTGCAAGTGGAAGAAAAGAATCTTGCTCCCCCACTTCAACACCATCCTTACCCATAAAGGTCCATGTTTCTTTTGTCAACCTCTTCAAGCACATGCAAATTACATAGGTGTATCATTGATGTGTTTACTCTTTCATGGTAAATGGAAGGATTGTGAAAATGTCTTTGAATAAGAGGCCATGGCTGAGAGAGACTGCACTAGCCAGCGTTTCTCAAATGTGGCCACCGAAGGCTTTTCTTGTAGCCACAGATTCCTGGGTGATTATTTGGGGGGTAGGGGAGCAGCGGCCCTTTCTCTGGGACCACCAGCAGGGGTTGGGTCCTTCCCCCACCCCCTCGAACCACAAATGACAGAGGATCAGGCAGCCAGGGTGAGATTCCCCACCTTCCCGGGGGTGGTGGGGCTTGGGCTTCTGGCTTCCACCCTAGAGTGGTGGGTGGCAGGCTCTGGGCTCTGGCCCCAGCCCTGTGGTGGCAGGTGCCAGCCTTGATCTCACCACGCCTCCGTTGCCCTGGCCTCAGTGCCTCCCTACCCATTTCCCCATCCAGGGCTTACTTTGTTTCTCCGCGTGCTGCGTCTGAGTAAATTTGCTGTGAAAAGTGATATTTGTATGTTAATACCACTTTTCACTGCCTCCCAGCTAGCTAGCAAGTCTGCTTCTGTTAATATCGCTTTTCATAAGCATACAAATACCACTTTTCACAGCAGCAGACTTCGTAGCCAGCAAGTCTAATTAATTAAAAAACAAAAAAACCCAACCAAAACGAAACAACAAAAGACAAGAACATGCAAAGCACCTTATTTGTGTTTCTATTCGGTGTAGGTCCAGGAAAGAATAGAGACAACTGTGTATTATTTTTACTGCGTTTGCAAAAAACCCTGTGTAAATAAATATAAATTTACAATGATTTGGACATGTTTTTTCTAAAGTTAAGTATTTAAGGAAAAATTGTCAGTGGCCACCAGCAAGAATTAGTGGCCGCACTCAAACCACACACAAATTTGTGAGAACCCCTGCACTAGGCAAACAATTACAGGGCAGCACTGCTACTGCCCCCTGTGAGCATTGGAGAATCCGCTCTTGGGTTGTCAGTCGGGCATGTCTCAAACTCATTTGGTATAGTGGAGTATACTGAAGAAAAGTGATACTTAAAATAGCTTCTGCTACATTATGCGAGGCTGTTCAACTCTCTTAAATATATTTGAGCCTAAGCTTTCGTGGGCTATAGCCCACTTCTTCGGATGCTGTAGCCCACGAAAGCTTATGCTCAAATAAATGTATTAGTCTAAGGTGCCACAAGTTCTCCTGTTCTTTTTGCGGATACAGACTAAGACGGCTGCTACTCTGAAACCTGTCTTAAATATAATATCCAGGCCGATATAAGAGCCTCTAGCAAAGTAGCATAGCTTACACTCTTCTATACATTTGCACCACTATGGAAGCTATAAGAATCAGTCAGTTCAGTAACGGGTTTTTAACCATGAATTCCACATACTGTCTTTGCTAACTTCATTTGTTAGACTGAAAAGTGTGTATCCGTTCCTAACACTGGGTTTAGTGCATCAGGCTGCCTACAGTGTTTTGGTTTACAGTTTCCTACAGTGGAAATAAATAATGGAACGCTGCATTATACATTTTTTATAGGTGCTCTGAATCTGATCTCATTTAGGTGCCTCTTAATCACTATCTTGCTGTGATAAAATGAGAAATACTGAAATGTGCAAGTTCTCCCAATGTTACGCAGGGCAGATGGGTTGGAACATTAGCACTCTCCTTGAGCCTTGTTCTTTTACAAAAAAATACTGTAGACAGAAGTGTTGCGCAATCAAAAGAGGAAAAGAGAGTGGTTAATGGGATTGCACTAGTAACCTGTAACTGGTCCATATGCTTAAAAAAAACCCCATGTGCTACAGCCATGCAGGGGAAGTCCCAGGCAGATGTCATGGATGAGGGAAGTAAGGAATACTTGATTAGCCTGCCCTAGCACCCTTCCCATTATTGCCCTGTGCTGCAAAAACAAACTTTCTTAAAAAGACATGGTAAACCAGGGGTTCTCAAATTGGGGGTTGAGACCCCTCAGGGGGTCACAAGGTTATTACATGGGGGGGTTGCCAGCTGTCAACCTCCACCCAAAATCCCCCTTTGCCTCCAGCATTTATAATGGTGTTTTAATATAGAAAAAAGTGTTTTTCATTTATAAGGGGGGTCGCACTCAGAGACTTGCTATGTGAAAGGGGTGACTAGTAAAAGTTTAAGAGCCACTATGGTAAACTCTTGCTAAAAGGAAAAAACCCTTTGTGGCCAGGAGGTGGCAGTAGAGCAGTTGGTCTACTTTTTAGGCCAGAAGGGACATTTTGCATGACCCGTATAATGCAACCTGGGCATCTCACCCAGTTACTCTTGTAAATTTATTAGTCTCAATCCTGCTTGCTAGAGTTATGCTAATAAAAATATTAAAGTTTCAGAACCACAGAATACTTAAATTTGCCAATAATTTTAGAGCAATTCTTGTCATCTTAACAAGTCTGCTTTCACCCCTAGCCAGAGCCCTCATCCCCTGCACCCAACCCTCTGCCCCAGCCCTGAGCCCTCTCCTGCAAGTTGAACCCCCCAGTCCCACTCCAGAGTCTGCACCCCCAGCCAGAGCCTGCACCCCCCCCGTACCTCAGCCCTGAGTCCCCTCCCACACTCCAAACCCCTCACCCCACCCTCACCACATTAATTTTGTTATATGCACCAATGTGAAGGTGGAGTGTGTTACATCACTTCCATAGTGGTGCGCACAACAAAATTCATTCCCCACATGGGTGGGAAAAATTAGTGGGAACACTGGCTACCAGGGTTTTTCCTGCAGTCACAACACTTTCCTGGCCAGAGATGGGGGAGGGGGCAAAGCTGTGGCCCTTCCCTGCAGTGCCCAGGTGCTCTGGTAGTGGGCGTCACCCTCCTCAGTCTCTTCTCCCCCCTTCAGCCGAGACTCTGGCACTGGGCTTCACCTTTGCCCCCTCCCTGGCTTCAGCCATGGGATGCTGGGGGTGGG